CCCTGGGTCGCACAGCCAGCGGGGTTTTCCCGCGGTCACTGCCGACCCCGCCGGCTGAGGACAGGCCGCAGAGCGACTTGCGGGAGAGAGAGCGGTCCCGGGGGACGTCGGAGGGAGGGTCCGGCCAGGCGGCCCCCGGTCGTGACGGCAGCGACACCCCAGAACGCGTCCAGGTCACTTTGTGTCCTTGGGTAGTTGGCTATTTGCGCTGCCCTGTTGACTTTTATTGTATACAGAACTGTTTTCGTTTAGTTGTGTGTAACTTTATTTCAACAATGAAGGAGTGGAAAGTAACATCTCATTTTTTTTTCTGTAAAACAGATTAAAGATCAAATTAAAATGTTGTGAATATATTTTAATTTTATAAGTTGGAACATGCCTCGCCAAAAAAAAATCTGTTTCTTCGGGAGGAAGAGGATGTTTTGAACTATTTTGCGTTCCTCTACTCCAGGCCTGTAATGGTTGTTTTTTTTTTTACCTGGTAGCTCAAGGAAGTCAGAGTGTCAACGTTACAGTTTTGCAGGTAGGTACCTCAAAGAATAGACAAGGGTGGGTTGTGACAATATTAGCTGGAGAACGCAGAGAACACGTTTGCTAAGGGAAATGAGAGTTTGGTTTTAGACAGGTTTATGTTGAAGGCCCTGGGGCAACAATCATGGAACTATGCTTATTAGACAGTTGAAGGTGTTTATGACTCGAGAGAAATGTCTAGGAAAAGTGGACATGGAAAGAGGAAATAGAGTGATTTGATATCTCTCCAATAAAATATTTCTACCTCAAGGTCTGTTGATTTTAATCATGGGGCAGTTCATTAAAGGTTAACAGATCTTGAGTGGTGGAAGGAAGTGTGGTTTAAGTAAACATATTCAATATTGTAATTTCTATGGGAACTTATTTTCAAAATATAAGCTACAGAGAGCACAAAATGTTTATATTAACAGAAAGATTTAAAAAGTTGGGAAGCACTAATATATAATGTAGTTAAAGCTTTGGGAGGAAATGAAATTGCCAAGGAGAGCATGTGAAATGAGATAACTGATTAAAAGCGTGGTTGATGAAATAGTGAAAGAGATGGAGGAAATGCCACAGAATTGGAAAGAGACTGCAAACATTAGAATCATATGGGCTTCACTACTTGGCCTCTGGGTAATTTTGAGCCCCAATTTTAATCTGTTAAAAGGGGGTAATACTTCTCAGGGATGTTGTGAAGGTTAAATGAACATTTTTGAATGCTTAGTACAGTACCTGGCACAGAGGAGAGCTCCTTAAGAGCTCTGTAATTATATCCTAGTGAGCGCTGCACCAGTTCCTTCATCCCCAGGACAGGTAAGATTAATACTTGAAAAATAAGTATTTGATTTTGGCGTTTCAGGTATCATTGATTTCCTTAAGGGTAATTTGAGTGGGTGGCGGAGATGAGTACAGTACTAGATAAAAATGATCAGCTTGAAGTTCAGACAGGTTGAGTGTACTCTTTCAAAAAAAAAAATTGTTATTTTAGGAAAGTATAATGGAGGGAAGACTTGATCTTTGGAAGGTTTAGAGGATGTGGGAAAGATTTAAGCATGCTTCTGTTGAGGAACATTTTTTCAAAAAAGGAAGTCCATTTTATGTTCTTGTGAAAGATGAGTTGTGTGTCTTATTTACTGTGAAGAGGAAGGACAGTAACATAGTTGCACCCTATACTGTTAGACTCACCCTTGACTGCACTGAAGGTGGTAATTCGGAGCAATAAATAAACAGGAAGTCTGCTTTACTCGATAGTTAGTAATTTTCTAATCTATTATCCGAGGTTAGTTTGTAAAAATATTACTGGAACCTAAATCTTTTAGCAGCCACAGAAAGGACGTGGCTATAGTCAGTAAGGATAGAAACCTCCTTTTTATTGTCCAGTGGTCAGGTCTGTTGGTAAGAGGATGGGGTTTGTCTTAAAGTAGATCTTGAAAATATGCTGGAAAACATTCCTTCAGAGGAAGGGTAGACATTCAAGAAGTGAATGGGGGCGGGGTTATTTATGGTCAGAAACTATGTTCAAGAGTTATATTAGGCAAAATTGGAGAACATTGAGCAGAATCATGATCTAATTAAATGAATATGTGGCTGCGAATCAAGAGAAATGAATTTTATTAATTACCTGCCCTATCCCTAACTAGTTTTATGACCTTGAGCAAATGTTAACCTTTCTGGCAGGGCATAGTGGCTCAAGCCTGTAATCCCAGCACTTTGGGAGGCCGAGGTGGCGGATCACAAGGTCAGGAGATGGAGACCAGCCTGGCTAACATGGTGAAACCCCAGCTCTACTAACAATACAAAAATTAGCTGGGCATGGTGGTGTGCGCCTATAACCCCAGCTACTCAGGAGGCTGAGGCAGGAAAATCACTTGAACCCAGAAGGTGGAGGTTGCAGTGAGCTGAGATCGCGCCATTGCACTGCAGCCTGGGCGACAGAGCGAAACTCCATCTCAAAAAGAAAAAGAAAGTTAACCTTTCTATGCTAGAATTTCCTTATCTATAAATGAAGATAATACTGTTTAGTCTACTCCACAACTTTCTGTGATTATCAGAGATCTAAATCTGATCTTTCAGATTACCTCACACATATCCAAATATAAATTTTTTATTCTAGAATCTAGACAAATTAATTTTATAATACTTACCACTTTTTTTTCTTTATTTTGCCTAAGCCTCTTCACCTGGCTTAGCAAGAATTTTTTCCTGTCCATAGCAAACCTAGTTTAGATTCAACCTTTATCTCCTGCTCATTTGGGTCTTGAATAATAATCACTCCTGTTTGATTCATTTGCCAACTATTAATATGTTGTTTTCTGAAATGTGTTCTGGTCTATTTTTATTATTTAATTTGCACATTTCATAGTCTCACTATCCTGGTGAATTGAAGGGCTTAAGGTTATATATAAGGTTAAATTCTTAGTTTTGCAGGCTAAGTGTATGCAAGGATAGGATTGGTTAGTGACTGTGGCACTGAAGTTAATGTCTCAGGTGAATGTGGGCTGGGAAACCAGGGTAAATTCAGCATTATCAGGCCTGTGAACACATCCTAAGTGAAGGATCAAAAATGGAGAGGCTGGGCTAGGTGGCTCACGCCTGTAATACCAGCACTTTTGGGGGCCACGGTGGGAGGATCACTTGAGTCCAGGAGTTTGAGACCAGCCTGGGCAACATAGGGAGACCCTGTCTCTACAGAAAATGAAAAAATTAACCCCGTTAGACTAGTGCACACCAGTGGTCCCAGCTACTCGGGAGGCTGAGGTGGGAGGATCACTTGAGCCCAGGGATCTAGGCTTCAGTGAGCTATGATTGGCCTCTGTAGTCCAGAGTGAAACCTTGTCTCCAAAAAAAAAAAAAACAAAAAAAACAAAAGGCAAGACAGGAGGATTCAGAATTTGGGAATATATGGTAATGGATGCCTCAAAGCAACATAATTCAGAGGCTACTTGGCACCTCCATCAGCTGTTACAGATAATGAACCAGTTCAGAGGTTATATCTTACATACTGAACTAAATTGTAAATTCCTTTAGGGTGGTATGAGACACATACTTGGCCATGACTATAAAATAATCTGTCTGCCTGCCTCATTTCCTGCTTTCCTCCTGTTTTGATTGAGCACTAACAATGTGCTATGGCCAGTGAAGCTTGTTTACTGTTATACTCGTAGAAGTCTTATCGTATAAAATTTCAAACATTTATAATCCACATACAGTAAAGTACAGCCATGTTAAACATTATGTATCTAAATATGAATTTATGTATTCTAATAAATATGTATATCCATGTAGTTACCACTAAAATGAAAATACAAAACATTTTGTCATCTCTGAAGGATGCCTCATTCTTTCCAGTCTCCCTCCTCCCACCAGAAGTAACCAGTCTTCTGATTTTTATTATCATAGAATGGTTTTCTCCGTATTTCAGCATAATATAAATGCAATCATGTAATTTGTATATTTTGGGTTGTAATTATTTTTCATAATGTAATCTTTTTGTGATTCATTTATGCTTTACATGTATCAGTAGTTCATTCTTTTTTATTGCTGAGTAGTAGTTCATTGTGCGAATATACCACAGTTTATCCATTCATCTGTTAATGGACACTTGGCTTGTTTCTATTTTTCTGGCTGTTATGGATGATGCTGCTATGAACATTCGTACACAAGGTTTTTTTGGGCATGTATTTTTACTTCTTTTAGAATTGCTGAATCATAAGGTAACGTAATATTTAACAGTATGAGAAACTATTGACGTTTTTGATTCTCCTTCCAGTAATGTATGAAGCACAGTGTTATTATCACTGGGGATGAACTGGGATCTCATACAGTTTCAGTTTTAAAAATTCAGGTAAAATTCATATAACATAAAATTTGCCATTGTAACCATTTTGAAGTGTAGAATTCAGTGGCTTCCAGTATATTAACAATGTTGTACAACCATCACCACTATCTAATTCCAGAACATTTTCAACATAGGAAAAAGAAACCTCTTACCCATCAAGCACTCATTCTCATTCTTCCTGTCTCCTCAACCCCTGGCAATCACTCTTTTGCTTTCTGTCCCTATGGAT